ATGTGTATAAGAGACAGTCCCCACCTCCTGCTCTGTGAGCTGATCACCCAGGGACCTGCACACCCGCCCTCGGGTGCAGGCCGGGGGACAGAGCCCTGCGGCGGGGTGGTGACCAGCTGTGGGCTGCCGCAGGACTCATCTCCCTCCCCGCGGGGCTCACCTGGCCCTGCTGCTGTTGGCGCTGCTTCTTCTTGTGGGCACTGCCAGTGGCGAAGAGGGGCCCGGGCACACAGCTGACGACGGCGGGCATGCCAGCACCGCAGGCGGCCGAGGCGTTGCCCCGGTAGAACTCGAAGGCACACATAGAGAGGTGAACCTCCGTCCCCGCGCACGACACCGAGTGCAGGCGGTAGTTGAGCTGCTGCCGCTCCGTGAAGAGCCTGCAAGGAGAGAGGAGCCGAGACACCACCGGCACGGCCAGCTGGCCACGGAGGTGTTGATGGCCGCCCTGCCTGCAGCAGCACGTGCCGCCCGCGCCCCTCGCTCTGTTCCCCAGGCAGAGACACGCCGTGCCCGTGGGTGCCCACCCCTCACCAGCCGCCTGCCCCACGTCCCTGGCAGCACGGGGACATGCTCGGCTCCAGCCCGGCTGAGCGGGGCTCCTGGCACTCAGGCTCTCCACTGGAGCCATTTACCTCCTCCTGGACCCTACGTCCTCCCTGCGCTTTTGTTTAGGCTGAGATTTGGAGGCCAGCCTGGAAAACAGAAAACAACCGTCAAGGAGCCCAGGGCCTCTGGCTGTCACCTCCGCCGGCTGCAGCGACACGGGAAGCTCAGCTGGCCCCGGCTTTGACTGAAGACAACTGGGCATGTTGAGGGAGACTCATGCATGTCCCCTTCACGTCACACATGGATGACAGCAACGTGACACAACTGCCCGGCACAGCAGTGATGCAGTTTCCTGCCCACATCCCAGCAGGAAACTGCAGGATGCAGCAGCATCCCACGCTGCCTTGTCACACAGCAGAAGATCAAACACCAGGGCAAGGATTTGATCTGCCGGGTGCAAGTGAGGTGTGTCCATGTCCTTGTCCAGACACCAGACAACGTCACTGTGCTGTGCTCCGAGGGGGGCAGGATGCCCCACAAGTGCAGCACCAAGCAAGCGGCATGTGCGGCGGGCACCCTCCCCAGCGCCACGGGGCACAGTGGGACTTGCTCGGGCTTGCAGGGACCCCCCGCCAGCGACGGGAGCTCCTCGGGTGAAGCTGCATGGTGCGGGGAAAACGAAGTTGCCCAGGGCCTGGCACACACGTGATGGTCCCAACACACTCAAATGCTCTGCTTCACTCAGGGCGAAAGATGCTGAGCAGGGCCAAAACCCCAGGGAGTGCAAGGAGTGGAGCAGAGTACCCCAAAACAGGGACTGACACCCTCCCAGGGACAAGTCAAAACCAAGCCTGGCACTGAGCCCACTGGCCGGTGGTAGGTTTGTGTCAGTCTGCACAGGCCACGAGCCCCACGACACAGCCCAGGACATCAGCCAGAGGACAGCAGCGCCCATTCACACTCATGAAGCCACATCTCAATCCTTCAGCCAGTTCTGGGTCCCCAGCACAAGAAATTCATCAGCTAAGAGGTGTGGGTCCTGGGGAGAGCCACCTTGGAGGTTTTCCAAAGCCAAGGCGATGACATCCTGGGCTGACCTATGGCTGGCCCTGCTCCATGTGGCAGGTCCAGGACCCCCAAGGTCCCTTCCAGCCTGAATTAGCCTGTGACCCCACGTCCGACCGCAGCCATGCAAACCAGCATGTGGCTTTCAGGAGGCAGCTCCTGCTCCAGGTAGAGGGGAGGGAGCAGACCCCAGACTCATGGATTTCATGAAGCATTTCACCCAGTGCTTCAGGGGAAATACCCGCTTCTTGGAGAAGGGGCAATCAGCACCAAATCAGAGACTTGACAGCACATTGTAGAGAGCGGGACCTGTGGAGGGGTCTGAGGAGACCCCCCGGGCTGATCCTGTCTGGATTTTCATCACCACTGCAGGAGATGGCAAGGGCACCTCTTGGGGACACAAAGCTGGGAAGGGCCACAACAAAGAGCTCACAAGGGGTTCGGAGCAGAGGGAAGGTGGTGGGACCAGGGCAAGGTCGTGTGCTGGGGGCAGAGCAATGTCTCCACGCTGCCGTGGGCTCAGGCAAGAGGTGCCAGGCCATGTCCCAGAGGGGATGGTCTCTGGCTCGCTGAACCCACCACCAAATCTAGCAGCAGGGCTCAGGGACGGAGGGAAAGGGTAGCCAGACTATCCCTTGGGACTGGCAGAAAGGCAGCAAGAGCGGGTGGGCAGAGGGTGCAAGAGACCCCGAGCAGATGCAGCGCTCCAGACAAGACTGTCATGGTGCCCATCACCCGGCGCCCGGCGGAGCTGAGCAAGCGCTCCCATGCCCGCACCCGCCCACCCTGCGGAAACAGCTTCCCCGCTGCCACTTTCTGCAGAAAGCAGCCCATTTCCACAGCCCTCCCCTCCCATCCGCCAGGAGAGACGGCTCCGCTCTGAGGCCAGGACACCGTGGCCCCCTCCACACCTCCCAGGGTGCTGCCCACAGCAGGTCTGTGCCGCAGACCCTGACCCCTGCCAGGACCCCTGCCCGGTGCGTGGGACGCAGCCAGCCTGGGAGACGCCTGTCTCTCACAGGGGATGGGGGACCCCGGTGCCACAGGCAGGTTCCAGCGGGGTGGGGTTTGTCCTGCTTGCCCAGCACAGCCCGGGCCCTCGGTCTGCTCCGTCCAGATCCATTTGTGCCAGGATCTGTTGTGACGGCAGAGACCGGCAGCGCTGGCCAGCCCGGCTCTGCCAGGGGCTCAGCAGATGGGGCACCCCAGCCCCTTACCTGCTGCCCGGCCACAGGCTCCGGCCCTTCATCCTGGCCGCACGCCTCAACCGCCTGCGGGA